TGTTTATACGTTTTCTCAGCAAAGACATAGCGAATGCTTTTAGTGCATATTATAGAGCTCTCTACAACTTAAAGGAGAAGGATACTGTTCCTCAACTTACCCCATCAGCAATTGAAACATGTTTAAACTCTGTTTCCCTGTCTAAACTAGATCAGATGCATCTGAATGTACTTAATAAACCATTCATTAGATTAGAAATTGAAGCCATAATAACAATTATGCCTTCTAACGAATTACAGGGTCCTGACAGACTATTGGAAGAATACTATTGTCTATTTTCTGTCCTGCTTTGTACCTACATGGAGAAGATGTATAACCCTGCTGCAGCCTCCGCTTACTTCCCACAGGAAATGTGGAGTGCTACTGTTGTGACCTTACCTACACCTGGGAAAGAACCAGTGCAGCCTCAAAACTTCCATTTGATTTCTTTATTGAATACAGATTTAAAAATGTATGTCAAGTTGACAGCAAAAAACTTACCTCTACTTATTGAGCCTGATCAGGTAGGCTTTGTCGCAGGTAGAAAAGCCCCAGATGCCACTAGGCACATTATTAACAACATATTCCATCATGCAACAGAAAACAGAATACTATCTCTATTGCTAACTTTAGATGATGAAAAGGCCTTTGACTGCATTCACTGGGGGTACCTTTCACAAGCCTTACTCAAGTTTGATTTTTCAGGCACTATACACTCAGCAGTAATGGCTTTGTTTGCAACTCCTTTTGCTAGAGTATACACAGAAGGTATGATATCACAAAGCTTTCCTATAACTAATGGCACACACCATTGTCCTTTATCACCTTTAATTTTTGCATTATTAAAGTAGCCCTTAGCGGAAACAATTAGATCCCATCCTGATATTAGTGGCATAAAGATTGGAGACTAGTATTACACCATATCAATAATAAGATCTATTGCTCACTTCCCCACTTACCTAGCTTTACAGATTCAAATGTTTTAATTTATGCAACTTTAAGATCCTTGGATCAAAATATCCAATCCCTCAACTAGAAGTCCCACTGAGGGCTTGGATGTTCTGGACTGGAGCCAAGAAGAAAAGTAATTTCCTTTTTATAAAATGTGTTACAAGCCAAATCATTGTTTTTCAAATCTTCTCCACTTTGCAAGTAATATTACAAAAATCTTTCTCTGCAGAGCAATGGTGCAAAGCTATTTCATGTAACTATAGATACTCCAGATGTTCCACCTATTGGGAGATGTCCCAAAAAAATACACTTTAACTGATATCTTACCCCCTACTGTTACGGCATAATTTGCATCCTCCCCGAAGATAGATGCTGGAAAGGCTGTGGGCTCCATGGCTCTTTAATACAAATGCTGTGGTCTTGTCCACATTTAAGGAGTTTCTGGAAAATAAATCTTTAGATTTATAATGTCCATTACTAGATTAATACTAACACCTAACCCTGAATTGGCTTTTCTTAGTGTAGGCACAGAGAAAATACCTCCTAAGTATAGATTATTATTATGCATATATTATTTGCTGCAAGACTTTCTATCACTAAACGGTGGAATTCTAATGAATCCCCGAGTATCTTAGAGGTTAAACGACAACTAGCTTTGACTTATGAATATGGGAAATATATGGCTTACTCCATGTTTCAGATGAACAAATTCCATGCTACATGGGCTTCTTGGGAAAAGCTGATGCAACAATCCTAATAGCCTAGGTTACCATCATGTTGATATGATGCACCAAACTGCGATACCCAACATTGTTTAGCTTAATTTTCCTGTCTCATCTCTATCATTACTTTTCTATTGTATTATTATGAGATACAGTATACATATTGGCTAGTTCATTCTCACTGGGATATAGGTGAGTATCAATACGTTAATGTATGCTGATTATTGTTAGTGATGGTATAAATCCCACATTGCTGGCTGAAAAGCATGTGTTATGAATATTGTATAGCTTAAATAGTGTCAGTAGTGTACTGCAATCTTTAACTCATCTAATGTATGACATTGCATTTGTACCTTTTCTTGAAAATTCAATAAAAAATACTGAAATAAAAAACTAAACCAGGAGATATATGTTACCATTTACCACCAAAGGAAAGTCCAATTTATTCTGAAAAAAAACATGGTATAATCCATCTGGATACACAAAGTAGTTGCGATGATATAAACAATTTTACTAACACATGTCAAAGTTGCAAAATTGTGTTTAGGCATTAACATTTGTTTTACCCTCAGTTACTAAAAACAGTCACTAGTAATGAAGCCTTCCTTCTACAGCTTTCTGTATTTTGCATCCTTTTCTCCTCTACCTCGGTCATGCTGCAGTCATCCTGCTTCCCCTTCCTAAATTGTGAGAGGAAGGGAATGATTCTAATATGTAAACAGTAGTACTGTTGTGGTAGTGGTACTGTTGTGGGTATCACAGTAATCACTAGGCTAAGAGCCATTCTGTTTGGCTCTGTGCCTTTTTCCTATGATCTCTTCTGTATAACAACAATGGGATTAGAGGATTGCGCACCAACAGTAAACATAAGGATGTTTTTATGTTTCATACCATATGTGCAGAAAAAATTATGGAAACTGATACACAGATTTCACTTGCAGAGACATCAGTTTACATCAGTTTTCATGGGTGCTTCAATTAGTTTTATACACATTGCACATTCCTGCTCAGAAAATGTGGTGTGAACATAGAGAATAGATTTTGTTGTTCCCTTGTATAACTGTGCAGAAATACTGACATCTCTGCACCATGGTGTTAATGATTCCTAAATGTCCACTCAGAATAATTGCTCCCCTACTGGCCAGTTTACTACAATGACCTATAGGGAGGTGGTTAAGCAGTTTCAGTATCTGTAGATCCACTAAACGCATAACAAAGCATATAGCTTTCAAAACAGGAACATTGCACAGAGGCTCAGAACAAGATGTGAAAATTGTACTACTTATATACCTGAGGGATTAATAACAGTGTGTATCATATTTGAACATCCAATTAACCCCGGGAATCAATTTATTCACCAGTGTGATTTTCAGGCCCATTTCACATGTCCTTGCAGTCTTTTTTCTTAAGCATAGTTTTGAAACATAACCATTAATTATTATGTTGTGGCTTGGGGCTGTATCTCATTATTGTATTACTAAAAGAAATGTTCACTAAGCATGCAATTTCTGCCAATCAAACACAATTTTGTCATAACTTTACGTGTGAGATTTAAAATTGAACATTTACCTTGAAAATATTTTCATTTTTTGAGTATTGAGCAAATCTGATTGGGTTCAATTTGAGGGCAGGTTAGGTAAGCAGGTTCAAAAATCCACAAGTTGTGAACTTTAATGGGAACCCCATTGAAGTCAGTGGGAGGTAAATCTTGAAAATCATTTCTCTATATTGTATAGAGTAACAGGCAAGGGATTGTCAAACAAAAGTCATGGGGAGTTTAAAAAAGTATTTAAAAATATTGGCAGAGAGCAGTTCTTTTAATAAGGCTTAAAGGGCAGCATTAAAAATGCACAATGCCTTTAAATAACAGCCTTAAACCTGCCTGTGAAATGGTGCTTCTGTACTTTGTACTACTTTGTACTATAGCAAAAGTGACATTTACAAAGAAAAAAATATATTAATTGCCGTCAATAAATGCCATTTCCCAACACTTTGCTCTGTTTGTCTGGATTTTAAGGGAGGTTTCATGCAGAAAAGGAAAAGAAACAAGATTCCCCTCCAAAAAAATCCAAAAAGCATACCAGACCCTTTTCTGAACATGTAGTCTGGCTAGTATGGAAAGGAGGAAAGTTAGCATGTGGCTTTCCTCCCGAACTATAACTATGTGGTTGTGGAGGGGATTATCAGAATCTAGATCACCTTTAAAATAGAGGATGTGGACATCTTAGTGGGGTATTTATTGGAATCTGGGAGCCAATTCTAAAATACAGGGGCCCTCAGATACTGTCCTCTTACTGAAGTATGAGGTACATATTACTTCTGCTGATTCATTCACAAAAAATTGTATAAAAAATAAATAAACACAAACACCTTAGGCCCCATTCACACTAGGGTGTTTCAATTCGCCAGTGGAAGGGCCGCGATTCTGCCCACGATTTGAAAACACGCTCTGACCCACTCTGTCATTTTACGTGACCTACTACTTCGTGGCTGAGTTTCTGTTGTTTCCAGTTGCTTCCACTTCATTCTAATACCACTAACATTTGACCGTGGAATATTTAGTAGCAAGGAAATTTCATGGATGGATGGACTTATTGCCCCTCCCCCCCCCCCCGTGACAAGAGAAGCTACAGACTGATAAGTTCATTGCTATGTCACTCTGCTCTCTCCTCCTCTCCTCCTATCAGCATGTACATTTCCCAGATGTACTCCTAATTGGCTCCTTGGGCTGCTTTTCCCTCCCTTTTTCTGCCCTCTGCTATACAGGAACCGTAAGAGGATGATGCCAGGTTAAATTCAGGTCCTTACACTTCTTGCTTTACCCTCCCTAGAACTCTGATTATGTCCATATTTCTGTGCTCAAAGCGGTACATTTTTTTGCATGGAAATATGTAGTTTTTTTATTGTAGGCCTGTAATTTTTAGTAATAACTCGCTGAAATCTGTCCGAACAAGAGTCTAGTAAACATTCTGGGTATGTTAAAATTTGAAACACGAAATCATAAATTATAATTTAATAAATAATCATAAAAAATAATAATATAATAATAAATTGAATTCAATAATGTAATAAAACCAAAAACACTGAAATTTGAAATAGAGCGTCAGTTCACACATCATTGAGCAAAGTCGCAAAATCGTTTTCAGTGTCTGATGACAAATTTCCCCACGAATCATCATCACTCAATTCTGCAAGCAGTTTTAATTTGCTATCGCTGTTCTCTAGCTGGTCTAAAACTGCTTTTGACCTAAAGGGACACTTTTTGGACGCCATGGACGTTTCTCAGTTTCCAGGCAGAAAGAATAGTAAAAATGCAGGCAGGGCACAGGACAAAGCACTCGGGACAAAATGTATGTGAAATGGTTTGATACAGTAATGTTTTACTATGTTATTTTAGTGTATTTAGTGAATTTCACTATTTGTCATTTTCAAATTTCCCGCCGTTCTGTCCCCGTACGTCCTGACGTCGCAGGGAATGGAACCTGGAAGACAGATGCGGCATCGGCCGGAGGACATTGCCGGGGACATTGCAGGAGGGACATCGCGGGAGCGCAGGACAAGGTAAGTGAAGTAGAGATCCTGGAGCAGCGCTGCAGGGTATTCTCGAGTGTAGCTCGGGGTTACCGCTTGTGGTGCTGAAACTTTACCCCGAGCTACACTCGGGAATACCTCCAGGGAGGTTAAACAATACATATAATGACATATTGATTACAGAGCTTCCTTTTATCTGTCTGGAGTGCTGTTGTAAAACATAAGTAACTGGATTTTTATGTTTATTTAAATAAATGCCAAATTTCATTTTTATTGTACAAGAAACCATAAAAATGGTCACTCTAAAAACGAAAGTAATATATTTTAAGGTCTGGTAAAGTTGTGAGTGACAGTCTGTTTATCACAAAAACGATGTAAGTGTGAAAAAAACAACAATATCTATAACTGGCAGCAACAGCAGTCATTCTTTTACTTCCATTGTCGACATGCATTGCTATCAATAACAAGTACTTTGTTGATTGATAGTAAATGCTATTTTTTCAGACAGATGTGTATTATTGAGACATTCTATTTTGAAATTAAACACCTTGAACAATCAAACATACTGGCTACTGGTGCTGGATTCAAAATTAGACATAAGCAAACATCTCTGGTATCTTTTTAAAAAACTGTGTGATAAGTTAATTTCTGTGTGAAGCAATTTTGGAAACAAAAAATAAACAATTTTAAGAGGAAAATGAATTATTATAAAATATGTAATTTGTGAATGTAATTGTGATCATTGTTTTCTCCTTACAACACATGCAGTTTGCTTGATCTTACTCCTACTTAATCACTGGATATATTCACATATACTGTAGCTTAAATCTTGGTTGATGGATCTTGAAACTCTGGAAGAATCCTTTTTATTCTGTCTGGTTAATGTTGATGACAGCTTTTTCCAAGAAACCAAAAAAAAAATGCTTCCTTCAATTAATTCTATACTTAATTTTTGGAATTCCATTTTGTTTTTGTATTAAAATAGATTTCATGTCTCAGATAAAAGTACGGTACTTATATATATAACTAAAACAGCAGCGGAAATGTTGCTGGAGGAAAAAAATATATGCATTATATCTACAGTATGTATATACAGTGTTATGTGATTGTCCTCCTTATCTGCTTGATGTTGATCTCTATCTTGAGCATCAGTTTCACTTGTACATTTGCAAAGCCTATACTGATGTCTTGTTAGTGTTGGCATGGGTGCAACAGGTTTGAAAGGTATGCTGAAACCAAGTCAATGTGGCCTTTGTTATAGTCATGGGATCAAAAATCTGAAAAGATTTATTTGAAGTAATGGGTTTCTTGTAAGTTTGTGTAAACAGTCAGAACTGTACCATGTTTTGTTTCTTCTGTCACTAGTTACCTTTCTTTCCAACCATTGCCTACATCACAGCTCACCAATGGTTCCCCCCTTAGCCATTCTATTTCTTAACTGACCAGACACAACTTTAATAAATATAAACTTATTTTAACTTTATTTCACTATTTAATACTAAGCAATATATGTGAAAGATTTATTTAAAACTAGGCTGACAGAAAAAAATGGTGATTTTAACATCTTGCTATGTTTTTTGTTTGTGGAAAATTCTTTTTATGAAAGGGTCAGCATACAACATGCAAAACGTTGAAATTACAGCCACAAGTCACTACCGGCACCAAGTAACTTAACCACTTGCCCTCCAGAGGATTTACCCCCCTTAATGACCAGTCCTATTTTTGCTACTCGGCTATGCACTAATTCAACTGATAATTGCGCAGTCATGCAAAGCTGTACCCAAACTAAATTTACGTCCTTTTTTTTCACACAAATAGAGCTTTCTTTTGGTGGTATTTGATCACCTGTGCGCTTTTTATTTTTCACGCTATAAACAACAAAAGACCAAAATTTTGAAGAAAAACAATATTTTTTTACTTTCGGCTATAAAAAATATATAGTGAACTCAAAGTTAGTTATGAATTTAGGCCAAAATGTATTCTGCTACATGTTATTGATAAAAAAAATCCCAATATGTGTATATTGATTGCTTTGTGTGAATTTTATAGCGTCTACAAACTATGGTATAGATACTGCAATTTATGCCATTTTTTTGCTAGACAGCGTTGCACTATTTTAGCAGACAATAATAATAAATATGGTACATAAATTAAATTTATGTCCTTTTTTCACACAAATAGAGCTTTCTTTTGGTGGCATTTGATCACCTGTGCGCTTTTTATTTTTGGCGCTATAAACAAAAAAGTTTTGAAGAAAAAAAATATATTTTTTAAAAACTATATTTTTCTCATTTCGGTCATAAAAAATATCCAAAAAAACTAAAATTTCATCATAAATTTAGGCCAAAATTTATTCTGCTATAAGTTTTTGGTTAAAAAATTCCCAATAAGTGTATATTGATTGCTTTGTGTGAAAGTTATAGCGTCTACAAACTTATGGTATAGATAATTAAATTAACACAGCTTTTCCTTTCTGACTGCTTATCACATTTCTTGAGGTGCTAAAATACCAGGATTGTACAAAAAACCCCAAATGAACTCTTATCAGAAAGTAGACACCCTAAGCTATCTGCTGAGAGGCATATTGAGTCCATGGAAGATTTTTTTTTTTTTCCACAAGTTTCTGGAAAATGACAAAAACATTTTTTTTACACAAAGTTGTCATTTAAATGATTTAATTGTCGCACAAGCCATTGGTATATGTGGAATTACACCCTAAAATACATCCTGCTACTTCTACCGAGTATGGGGAAACCACATGTGTGAGACTTTTTGGGAACCTAGCCACATACAGGAGCCTGAAATCCAATGACCACTTTGTAAGCCAAACTTCTTCATTTCATTTCTTCACTACTTATCACAGTTTTGGAGGCCCTGAAATGCCAGGATAGCACCAAACCCCCCAAATGACCCCTTTTTGGAAAGTAGACACCCCAAGAAAGTTAAAATGGCATGGTGAGTATTTTGCAGATTTTTTTTTTCTCACAAGGTTTTGAAATATAAAAAAAGAAAAGAAAAAATGTTTTTTGTCCTTTTACAAAAACTTGTGGCAAAAAAATACATACTTGTATTGATTCAACATGCCTCTCAGCAAATAGTTTGGGGTGTCTGCTTTCCAAAATGAGGTTGTTTTTGGGGGTGGGGGCATTTTACACCCAGCATTAGAAGTTTATGCCATACAGTATATCACTCACTCTTCTAACCACCTGAAGATCAAGCCTTTTCTGACACTTTTTGTTCACATGAAAAAAAAACAGTATTTTTTGCTAGGAAATTAATTTAAACTCGCAAACATTATATATTTTTTTTAAAGCAGACACCCTAGTGAATAAAATGGTGGGTGCTACAATTGTTTATGTCAAATAGTACTCACGCAGCGATTTTTCAAAAGCAAATTGGAAAAAAATACACTTTTTTACTTTTAATGCACAAAAACACAATATATTGGCCAAATATTTGGTAAAGTATAAAAGATGATGGTATTCCGAGTAAATAGATGCCAAACATGACATGATTTAAAACTACGTATGCCCCATGCAATGGCGACAAACTGCATACAATTTTAATATCCATAGGCAACAGTTTAAAAGCCTTTACAAGCTACCATTTTAGATTTACAGAGGATGTCTAGTGTAAAATTCATGGCGATACCTCACATGCATGGTGCAACTGCTGTTTACATACCGGCACAGGGTCAAAGCTCGTGCACACAGGTGTGTGCGCGTGAAGGGGTTGAGGTTTTTTTTGTTAAGTTATTTTGATTTTTTTATTATTTTTTTACACTGTCCCTTTCATTTTTTTTTATCACTTTTAATGCTATCACAGGGAATGCAAATATCCCCTATAACTTCAATGGGAAATGTCATATATCCTTTTTTGAGAAATCTGGGGTCTATCAGACTCTAGATATCTCCTCTACTCTTACACTCTCTAATCAAACCAAGATCGGTGTGATCAGATGCTTTCCCAATTTACAAATGGTGCTGTTTATATCCTGTGAAACTGAATTGTTGAAATGCTCGTAGCTCCCGATTTCTTAGACTATAGAGATAATTGGCACCATTCTGGTCTCCAATCAGCTCTATGGTCAGCTGGCAAAAACACTGGCTGCATTCTCAGGTTCCCCCGATGGCACGGGACTGCCCGAGAAGGCCATGGAAGGCAGTAGGGGAGGGGTGCATCATCTCCTGCTGCTTGTAAAAGCAATCCTGCAGCTAATTAGAGATTAGGATTGCTTTTACATGAAAGCCGATCGCTGGCTGAAAACAATGATACCAGGATGATGCCTGCAGCTGTGGGCATCGTCCTGGTATAACCATTCAAAGTCCAGCGATGTACCAGTACGTTGCTGGTCCTTTTTGGGTATATACAGTCAGGTCCATAAATATTGGGACATCGACACAACTCTAACATTGTAGAGGCCTGGCAAAGCATCACCAGGGATGAAACCCAGCGTCTGGTAATGTCTATGCGTTCCAGACTTCAGGCTGTAATTGACTGCAAATGATTTGCAACCAAGTATTAAAAAGTGAAAGTTTGATTAATGATTATTATTCTGTCCCATTACTTTTGGTTCCTTAACAAGTGGGAGGCATATATGCAAACTGTTGTAATTCCTACACCGTTCACCTGATTTGGATGTAAATACCCTCAAATGAAAGCTGACAGTCTGCAGTTAAAGCACATCTTGTTTGTTTCATTTCAAATCCATTGTGGTGGTGTATAGAGCCAAAAATGTTAGAATTGTGTCGATGACCCAATATTTATGGACCTGACTGTATGCTATGTTCTTTTTTTTTTGTATGCAGCCTGTGGACTGAATGAATGAAAAAAAGAACAGAAATCTCTGCCAGAAAAAGTGTGTGGTATGCCCACCATTAGAATATACCTCCCTGCATCCACCCACTTCTAATGGTGGGCACACATTAGGTCACACTGTGCCACATGCACCGGTTCCAAGATTGTACAAATGTCTAAATAGTGGCACGCTTGAATAAAAATTGTCCACATATAAGTGGTACCCCATATGGAAAAAGGATGACACCAAGTCCCAAACTATCTTGCCACTGCTCCCCATATAGTCTGGGCATCCGGGGGGCTCCACGTGACTATCTTTTCCCTCGTAAATCCGAAACTTTATGTATAGCTTG